CCACCGCCACCACCACCGCCACCACCACCGCCACCACCACTGCCACTGCCACTGCCACTATTAATATTTCATACTTCCTTTACCACTACTATCACTACCACAACCACTAACACCATGTGCCATGCGGCGAGACCGCGATACTCTGAGCTAACTGATCCTTCACTAGCTCGAAGCAAATATCGCTGTTTTGGATTGCATTCATTCGGCAAGTGTGGAGTGAAATTACTTTTGTTCAAGTCGCAAAGTTGTTTTGAAGCTTGGTATACATATACTAGATCATATTCGAGTTAAAAATATGAAATAAAAAATGGAGGTGACTGACTTCGTTTCGAGATAAACGCTGCGTAATATCAACATTTTCATAGTAAAAGACGCGCGCAGAAAGGATACGCAGAAACAATGGTCGCGAAAGTCCTTTAAGTCTACAGGTCCACAAAGACCCAAAGCATCGAAATGGGTTTTATTTTGCTCGGGTCTCAATGGCCTTAATTAAGTAAAACATTATTGCCACTGACGAGCATTTTCAAACGTACCCTATTAGACTTCCAGCTGTTTAAAACGACGCACTAACCAAAGCTATAGGTAGAAAACGAGAATGTCTTCTTAACAATAGAGTATTCAAATAGTGGTTGCTCTAAAAACTTCAGCTCGAAAAGTATTATAATAACGAGTCGATTTTGAACTATCTTTACTCTAAGTTATAGTCCGTACAAAAATTAGTTTCCCTAACGGTAGATCTTGGATTTTAGTTCCTGGAATGGATGATAAAAAGTGAAAAAATAAAACGATTTCACGACTTACAGTTATAGAAAAATCTAAATTAAGTCTGGCTTGCTTGTTTGCTGTCAAGTTAAACATAATTACTGGAAATTAAGATAATAAATTTTTAAATGGTGTCTTAAAAGTCCTTGTAATTTTTTAAATGATAACTGGAGTAAAATCTTCAAAATTGTAACAACTGTAATAGCTCTAACATAATGATTATAATTATGATTATGATTATTATTATCATCATTACCTTCAAGCTAAGCTTTTAACCGAAAGAGCGGGCAGCCGGGTTAATGACAAAGACTTGAATCTTTGGATTGTCCATTGTTCTCTTGAACAATAACTAAAACATCGATAAAAACGGTTATGAAAACAAGAAAGAAAAACAGCATAGYGCAAAGTATTTACAGCGTCTTGGAGAAACTTGAACTCAGAAATGTGTAGTTTTGATTTGTTCCTTCTCTTGGAATTTTTGYTCGATCAAGCGACCTTCACAGACAGATTTTTTGACTTCAATAAAGTTTCATTAACGATTCTCTTTACCGTAAAATAAACAAAGGCTTGACTTTTTTAATCTTCGTGAAAGAAGAGCAAAAAGTAACTATACTCATTAGTAATTCCTTAAAAACCAGCCGCGTTTTGCTATATATATTTCAATTTTTTGGAGTAAACTTTTGACGCAGGGATTTATTTTAAAACGCCTTTCAGAAATTTTTGTGTACATCTGAAATATTCAATTCTGAGCGTCAGAGATAAAGGGCTTCTTCCAGTCTATTTTTCATCAATTAAAAATGTTATGTAAATCGGGATCTGAGCAACTTCATTCATGACCATTAAATACTACAATTGATGAAGTCATTTAGCAGCTTGGCACCACTTTGAATCAGCGAGTAAAAAGGACAAACAAAAACACTACGTGATACAAAAAGAAATTACTCAAAACAAACCGAGAAAAACAGTAAAATATCCAAATATATCTGGGCCAGAATATTCTAGGTCAAAAATCAATTCAAACCACATCTATGAAAGTTTAATTAAGCGGTGAAAAAAAATTTGTGTAAAATGCTCTTTTAAGAAAAAGCTTATTTTGGAATGAGGACGTCTTGAACGGTGTCAAAACAATTACTCATTAACCAAACTAGAACAAAACAAAAAGCCATGCATAACCTTGGTCAAGTTATTGCGGCCAGATGGCAGTTTTATTTACAAGCACAGAAGTCCTTCAAAGTCAAACACTTCAAGTGTTAAATGCTCGAAAAATAAACTTCCACAAATATGTATACTCCAGCCACTCGTAAACGGCCTTGATTTTTTCGTCAGGACTCAATAAATCGAAATATTTACGCAGGGACGCCGATTTTTGCGATTCAGTCGTTAATTATTTACTAAGATTTATTATTTTGAACGATAACTAGAGACAAGGAGAATGTGTGAACTATATTGAAGACAGGTGTATAGATGATATTCAGGGGGGGGGGGATGTTATGACTCCAACAGAGTAAGTAAACACTATGGATTTGTTAACAGGAATGAAAATTAATGAATATCTTTTAAATTTTCTAAGTATCCACGTAAATTTTAGTATTTTGTTACTGGCTTGCAAGTCACTTCCAGCTCGAATCGTACGAAAATTTTGGCCAGAATCGCGTTTTGCATAAGACAAAATTGCACTACAAGCTTATAWTTTAGTATTGAATTCTGAATTTTTTTCTGAAAATAAATGGACGTACTTTGAAAGTATGTTAAGGATGTAAAAAGTCTTCTTCAGTAAGGAAAGTAATACCGGAAGCTGGTTTTGCAGAAAGAAAGTTCTGAGGTAAATCCCCCCTGAAAGATTACAAAACCGCTAACCAGCCAATCAGACTGCTCGATAATCAAGACTTACACCCACTAAAGGGCTCCGTTAACCACGCTTCCATTGGTCGCACCACAATACTTCTATAATTATATTCAAAAAAGGCCAGCAGGGTTTCGATGAGTCCCGCTAAAGATCAACTGAGGTGTGTTGATGTGTTAGCTATCTTATTGAACACAGAGTATGGACAGTCGGGTTGAACACTAGCCGAAAATAATCGACGCTGGAACCAAATTCAAACTCCTTTTACCTCTCGTTACCAAACTGTGCAATTATTTGTTTATCGAAAAATGCCAAGGTCCTTCCTGCTTAAACGTCATTTTACAAAGAATGAAAGTATTTCTAATCGCAATGGGATCGACTTTTCTTTCCAAGGTAAGTGAGAATATATTCAGTTGATTGAAAAAAAAAAAAAAAAAAAATGGCAGAGCTAGGTCGTGATAAATGTCGTAATTACTTTTATAATTTTCTGGATTATTCGTCCAAAAGGGTGGAAAATAAATACTATGGAAAATTGAGGATTCCATTCAATTAATTTCATCAGGGAAAGGTTATCAAAATGAAGCGCTCGTCGAAGTGAACTCTAACTTCCGAGATTCCAAAATTGGCGCTGTAGTTTATACGAGTTACAACTGGAATGGGACAGAAGACCAGACACCAGACCAGTTCTATACAGACACCAAACCGAACAATCRGCGAAAAGAGAATCCAGGTTTTGACAATAAAAGGACAGACCCTGGCCATTTGGTTGATCCATACGACGCGTCGCGAAAACGTATAGTAAGCGTCAAACTAGAAGATGAGAAACCCCTGAAAACAGCCAACCCACAGAAACTACATCAGCCGAAGAAACAAGCTTTCCAGTGTGGGCAATGTGGAAAGGTTTTCAAGACTAAGTACACATTGACAATTCATCTCAAAATGCCTTCGCACACTGGCGCCAGGCCATTTGTATGCGCGATCTGTGGCAAGGGTTTTCGTCTGTCGAGCACGCTTTGTCGACACAAGATCATCCACACATCCAACAAACCTCATCAATGTCAGGTCTGTGGGAAAGCCTTCAATCGGTCTTCGACGCTCAAGACGCATCAGCGAACTCACAGCGATGTCAAGGAGTTTACTTGCGAGGTGTGTGGAAAAGGGTTTCATCAAAAAGGCAACTTACGAAATCACTTGCTCATTCATTCCGGAGAGAAGCCCTATAAGTGTACTCTCTGCAAGAAGGCGTTCAACAAGCTTTCCAACTTRAAATTCCACATGCATATCCATACAGACAATAGACCTTACAGATGCCGGTTCTGTAAAGAGAGCTTTTCACGGCGCTGCGACCTCAAGGACCATCACAACAAATCTCTGTGCAAAGTAAACAACTCGTCATCGACTGAGGATTCTCTCACATCACTTCAAGACAATAAAAAATAAGATTCTTAAGAACTTTCAWGAATTGACTTTATTGACACTAAAAGAAAACAGATTTTTTTCACTCAAATTGTAAAACGTTAGCTTCCGTTTCTCTAAAATTTAAAGAATGTATTTAAAAATTAACCTTAACGTAAATTATGCCATTGAGTAACACGTACTCGTATTCAATTATCAGCAACTATATCATTGCACGGACAGAAGTATTTATTATAACTAAACCAAGATAAAATCAAAAATACTTTCGTTTATCAGAAGTTCTGGAATTTCTTAATTGAGTAAAATACCGGCTGCACACATTTCAGTCTATCCAATTGATTGACTCTCTGATTTTTCAGTGTTACAAGGATTTTTTTACAAGAGCGAAAAAATGCGTAAAGTTTTACTTTGTTTTTCGTGGGAATTCTCTAGTAGGGTTTGAAATACATACCTTATGTATCAAAATAAAAAAGGGTAATCTCTAGAAAAAGTAAGTCACGCAGAAAATCACATTGACAATCATTTATTCAAAGGTTTTCGTGTCAAATTACTGAAAAGAAAAGTTTGAGAAATTAAAACAAAAATTCATTAAGAAGTTTGGAAAATACAAAATAAGCCCTCTAAGTAGTGTTATAAGGCGTATTTTAAGTAGACTTGGTATAAGGCTTATTGAAAAAGGAAAACGGAAACTATTGATTTCTATACTAAATATTGAGAACCGAATTCAGTTAGATTTGAGAAAATGGCGGGAAAACGTATTGCTTTACGTACATTCGGATCACATAAACTATACTTAGTTGGAAAATAATTACGAAATGTTGTTTTAGGAGCGCTTCCTTTTAGTGAACTGAAACAGCAGCCTAAGTTATTCAAGCTAATTATTACAGAAAAACAAGCGACTGTTTTCTTTATTGAAAGTAATTTTCAAATCCAAGCCGTGTGTTTTCGAACAATATCAAGCGAATACCCTGCTGAGCGCCATGATTAGAGACTAGTTGGAGATTCTGACCAAACAAGACAGGCTTTAAAAGGAAGTTAACAAATGATTGGTAAACTACTAAGAAAGAAAAAACATCTGTGAGTAATCACATTGAATGTCTACCGGCCCATGCCAATCTTTAATACGAAGTCTGCTGAGATATTTATGTCCATAGTTTTAAGTAGTTTAAAGAGAGTTCTTCAGAGCTATAATTATCACTCTCGTTCACTACGCACTAGGTGGCAAACAAGAAGCTCCCACGACAGCTGAAATATCTGTAAACTTGCTCTATAGACTCTCTAAAAACAACTATTTCAAAGCAAACTGATTTTTCTTTACTTTGTTCCTTCGTATTTATAAAATGTCAGTTCTGGTCGATTCTTGTACGACAAGTACGAAAGCCTATGACATTGAACTTTTTAAAAATAGTGTCTTGTTATTTGTAGTCAAGCCATTCACCATATGTAGCAAAACTTATAAACTTATTATAGGCTAAATGAAAAACATTACAAGCAAATAAGAAAGACAAATATATGTAAGAAATTTGCGTAAAACAAATATCATTAATCTACCATCAAAGTATTTTGTCCTTTTTCCATGAAAATCGAGGACCAAGTACCCCGGAAGTAATAGACTACTCAATTTCTTTTATAATAATAAATCATAATAAAGATGAAAAGCGAAAATAAATTGTTTCAGTTACAAAACAGTTTTCAAGTTTCGAAATTATTATAATTTATTGTTCCCGCGTCTAATCGCAAGGTATTTCGGGGGAAAACGACTCAGTGAGCTATTCTTTTTCGCGCGGTTGTGGAATTTAAACAAAAATTCTTTGAACCAGGATTGATGTGTAACCCTTAATTTTAATGAGAGCTTAACTTGAGTTTTAATACTTTATAAAATTGGGAAACAAATACGCCTGATTGCAGGAACGTTATCATATAAAGATAAATAAGAAATAAAGAAATACAAAATAAATATTTTTGAGCAAAACAGGAGTAATAGACCTTATTCGTGGTGTGACAATGTTTTCCCAATTCAGCGTGACAAACCTGTGGGGGAATTAAGAGATATTGTTTTGAAACTCGTCGGGATATCATCGTTATTCCTTTCGTATCCTTTGGGATACTCATGAATTTTTYGAAGAGTAAAAACAAAAGAAAATGAATCCCCTGGAGGTTCGTCACGCTGAATTGGGAAAACATTGTCACACCACGAATGAGGTCTATTATTTCACTGTTTTGAAGGTATTAGCCTGGCATTTTTGATATTACCTCGTTAGTAGTACATACTAAAACAGTCTGATTCTCGAGAATCTAGGGGGCGTTTAGAATATTCTAATTAAAAAATATTTGTTATTAATTCCTATTTGGTATTTTTCATTTTTATATGACAACATTCTTGCTGATCATCTGTATGTGTTAGAATAAAACAAAGAAAAACATTTACGCGGCACTTAGACATGTTTCTCGTTACCTAGTACTCATGCATGGCTAACGACAGAAATTACTTGAGAATTTGAAAATAAATTAATCTCCCGTGGGGGGGGGGGGGGGGGGGGGGGGGGGGGGGCAG